TAAGAGCGGGTAAAGGAAGTACCCCAATGGTTTGGGCTTCTGACTAAGCTCTGGTTTTCCAAGGATGCTGCATGATCAGTGAGATTTCCCTATAGATCTCAAGACATCAGCTGATTTGATGAATCATAGCCCATACTTGCTCTCTGCAGGTCTTTCCTACTGGTAGCATGATTTGGCAAAAAATCTGTAACTTCAAAGGCAGAAAACATCCTGCCTATCTTTGCTCAGTATAGAGAGTTTTCTGATGTGAGGGCATGATCTAGATGAACTCTTAGTGATTTTTTTCTTTAAAATTCATACTTATAGGATGTACCTTAAAAATCAGGGTGACTCCAGCCTGTTAAATATGTATTTTTTAAAGTCACTAATTTCCTTAATTTAAAGTGTTCAATATAATGCCCACTGACTACTGTCAGTACCTATGACTGTTATTCATTCAGAGATTCATATCAAGATGTTTATGCAATTAAGTGAATTCTTCTAATGGATAACTTAAGAAATATTTAAGTAGAAAACTATATTTCTTAAGATACTATGGGGGGGGGAAGTAAAAATGAGGAAAATTAAGTCTGTTTGGGAAAAGGGGCTGACTCATGCTCAGTTGTATTGAAGTACTCATCCCCAGAGGCACAGTTTATAAACACAGTCATTAGTAACACATTGCAAAAGATCTCACCCCACCTTTTTTTTCCTTCCATAATGAGTACTTAAACCCAAAGGAATAGCTTTGTATTAAGCCCAAGCAGTTGTAAACATGGATTGTAATGTCATAACCAAGTATCTGAAGTGCAAATCAAATTGCGGATACTGTTATATTTCTATTATTTACACAGTGGATCACAGCAGTTTACCCAGAGTCAAAATCCTAGAGTTCAAGCTGATTTGGAGGCATTCCAGGGTATCATATAAATAAACCTTTACAGTAGCAATGGTTATAGAGAGGATTTAGCCTAATCCAATGCTCTGTGCTGTAAAGTGCACTCTCTTAAGTACCATAACCTTGAGAGGGGGGAGGTTATGCACTTACCCAGAATATGCACTTACTTGAACTTAACAAAACAATGCTGGTGAAGTGCATGACACTTTCAGTGCAGAAACATTAGCAGCTGACAAGCTGAGGGGCGCCTGTGATTTTCAAGGCTGTGTATAATAGTCAGGTTGAGGCCTGCTATTAGAAGCCTCGAAAGTGAGGGGAACTAGCCAGTTTCAGAGCTGCTATTAGAAGCCAACTCCTGTCATTTTCAAGGCTTCTTCTAATAGCAGCCCTCTGACAGCTGCTCACCCTTGCCCATTCCTAGGTGGTGGAGTGCAACCGCTTTACAATGCAGACCCGGGGGCTGCAAGGCACTGCCGTTATAAGCATATATGTGCCTCGCCCGTGTCGGCTGGGCTGCAAGCAAATGGGCCAGATCTGGGCCACTCCTGACCCTGCAGCTCTCTCCTTGCTTGTTGAGGCTTGGATGAGGCAGCCCCTGAGAAAACTCTGCTATTGACTCCAGCAGCCAGGATGGGCAGAGCTGCTAGCCCTCCCTCAGCACCATCTGCCTGGGGCTAGCTTCATGTACAAGCTTCTTGCCTCTGCCCCCCACTTCAATCCCCACCCTGACCCTCAGCACTACCCGCTCTCCCCATTCCTCCCTGCTCCCGCCCATGCTCATTGCCAGCCACTTCAGAGCAGAAGCGAAACGAGGGGCAGCCCCGCGCTCCGCCTCCCCGCCCGCCTTGGCAATGCTGCCTGCTCTCTCCCTCTCTCTCTCCCCTCAACTCCTCAGCCCAAGCGGTCGAGCTGCTCACCGAGGCGCGGAGGCGG